TGCTCTAGAGACTTCTATCTTGTTCTGATACAATGACTTATCAAAGTAACAACGACATTGCTTTTTGATTGATTATAGCTTTGCGTTCAAAAAGATTTAAGATTAAGAGTATAAATTTTAAGATGTCCGTTTTTGTTTGAACGTGATATGAGTGGCTTTGTTGAAACACATAGATATTGAAAATTTTGTGCAATCTTGGTTAGCTTAACAATACGATACTGAGTTTTCATTTTTTTAACCGCATAACCATCTAGTTGATTCATTTTCTAAATATATGTATGTCATAGTGATGCTGTAACACGAACATTACAAATACTTTATTGTTTTTCTTTCATTGAGTTGATTTGAACAATACCGATTGGAAAACTAATATCTCAGGTGCATAACTTTAAAAGAAGATGAAGGTCTCCGCTTGTTGATCAGGTAAATTTGGTGAGCGTGAGAAAGGGTGAGTGTGCGCAAGGGAGTGAAGGTGTGAAAGGGAGGGAGGGTGAGTGTGAGGAAAGGTGAGGGTGAGAGAGGTAAGTGTGTGGGTGAGTGAGTGTGAGCAAGAGAGTGAAGGTGTGAAAGGAAGTGAGGGTGAGTGTGAGAAAGGGTGAGGGTGAGAGTGAGTGAGGGTAAGGGTGAGGGAGGGAGTGAGCGTGAGTGTGTGCAAAGTGAGGGTGTGAAAGGGTGAGTGTTGGGAGGGTTGGGTGGAAGGGAGAAGAGAGAGGGAGATAGGAAAATGAAGAAGTACGAGGGCTTGCCGCATCTTCTCACTTCTCACAGCGTTACGCCCACCTGTTATCCTACTGAAGTTCCCCTCCCTACCCTATTTCTTTCTCACCCTCCCACGCATTCTCCCCCTTCCACACTCTCTCTACCTTTCTCACACTCCCATACTTCCTAATCGTCCCTCCCTACCTCACAATCACCCTTGCTCACCCTCACCCTATCACACCCTCACCTGCTTCCTCACTTTCACCCTCACCCTTCCACACACTCCCTCCCTTACTCACCCTCTCTCACTCAATCTCGCACCTCTCTCACCCTTACCCTCAATCTTTCACATTCTCCCACCCTTTCTCACACTACCCTCACCCTAGCTCTCCAAACTTACCTGTTATGGAGGAACACTGACGCGAACATAATCTGGAAACAAAGTGTATTGAACGAATCAGTTTGTAAAAGGAAACCGAAGAGGATGCACAAACTCACTTCATATTAATGGCATGCCACTGGACGGACAATCCACAGTTGTAGTCACCCTTTGTCACGCTGTAATTGTCATGTTATAATTGCATTAGAAATAAAGTTTTCTACTAATCAATGGATTAAAACACGTCGAATAAGCTAACAACACACTCTTAATTCATTTAAAGAAGGTTCAAGACAAAGAGTTTTAATTACTGAGTCATGCTTACTAACAATAGGCAGGAAAAATGGAAATGATTCGATATGATGTGGTCTTCAGATTATAATGCTGCATACGTTCCATGTCAAGAGTTAACATATAGCTTGTCATGCTATGAGGCAGAAAGAGCACAGCACCAGCAAGTTCCGACAGCAGTTCTTACATGCAATAAGAGCCTTACTTTAAAAATTCCTTGATGATAATACTGCGAAAGATGATGTACAAACAGCTATATTGTATTCTGAATAGTACTTATCACCTAAAAGCTTTTTCGCTTTGAAAAAGAACAAATAACAAAGCAGTAATGCAAAAGACTACTCTTTTACTGTACCTTGAACAGCCGTACTTAAAATGAAAAGTACACTATGAAAATCAAGAACCTAAACATTGAATTGAAATTCAATGTGCCTATTTAAGCAATGGATGGCAAAGTTTGGCAAACTGTGACAGCTATCCAATGTTTGAATTCTAGATGCAGCTTAAAAGGATAAATGGGAGCTTTTCTTGACATAAAGCTTTGAAATACAAAATAGGGGATAAACTGAACTAGCTATGAATTTTTCATTTCAAAATAACTTCAGACTGAAAATTAAGTACAAAGTTTATGTGACTATGAAGTTATATAAATCAGGGATTAATTATTAAGTTTGTCTACGCATTATTTTTTACCCCTAACAGACTTGTTTAATGTTAATATCCTAAAGCATCTCATAAGACTTTTGATGGGTATTTCAAACGCCTTCTATTTAATCGTTAATAATTTCTTTATTTTCAAAGCTTTTCCAAGTCTTCATAATTCACTCTAAGTTTGCTTTGAATTAGCTCAATACTAGGGTCCCAAAATGCATGAGGGCTCAGCATGCAGGGCGCAACATTTGTATAGATGCTTTACATTTTTAAAAAATGTATGTACAACTTTTCAGGAAAAAAACTATAATTTTTTTTTGTATAAAATGTCCATCACGAGCATTAAATCTCAATTCATTGTCAAAAATATTGAAATACATCACCTATATTAGAGTTTTCTACCACTGTTCACAATCATTTCAAAAAAGTTTCATTCAGAACAAGTCATTCAAATAGCAACTTTTTTTGGCGACAATATGGGATACAGATCCTTAGGAACAGATCGCTTTAATGAAGAAGGAAATAATATGGCTCAGGTAATACTGCCATTATTTCAATTAACTTTACAAGAACACCAAATATCTCATCCTGCTATTTTTCTTTTAATTTGCTTTCAACAATATTTTATCTTCTAATCTTCATAAAGAGAAAACTTATTGGCTAAAAAAAGCATCTTGCATGTCTGATTGTTGCTTTTTCTTTGGATTATACTAATCTTGTTTTATAAGTGTCCGCAACTAATAAAACAATCTATTTTCAAAAGGCTGTTTTTCGTCTACGTGACTTTTTACTTCTCAGCTCAAAGACCAAAACGAAATTGATTTGAGAAACATGAAATTTATAAAGAAAGGAAATGCGGGATGTTCGAAAAATGCGCCCACTGTTTGATCTTGAATAAATTTCTGTACTATATGGGTGTAAAAATGTAAGTGCTTAACGGCAGTACTAAAGCCATTCGCAAATTTACCGTAAATTTACAGCAACCGCCAACAACAAAACCAAGTCAAAAGCGAAAACTTGAGTTAAAGTCAGTCCTTTGAATAAAACCACTGATGCTCAGGAAACCCTTGGAAATAAAAGTCATCAACAGTCAAACAGTGGGCATATTCCTTGGGACACCCTGTGTTTACAGCATTTGGTCAGAAATTTTGAAACTGCATAAAGTAAGCGATAGAAAATCACGAGTGATTATGTTACAAGGATAACAGAGTATTATGAAGCGTTGATAGATATAAAACTAGCAGAAACGATTTTAAAAAGGATACAAAAGCAATAACCTACAGCAGCATAACTAAGGGATAGATTACATGACCGAAACAGTTTATCTTCACGTTGAAGCTAAAGGGGAGCTCAGGAATAATTACTGTTTCTTCTTCTTACATCTTTATAAAGGTTCAATCATGTACATGTAGGCCACTCTGTTTTCAAAACCTGATGCATCATCTAACCCTTCTCAACAAAAAGGTTTTTTGCACAAATCATGAAATGGAGATATTTATCACCAGAAACTAACGGCAGCTATAGTATGTAAACTGTCACTTCTGAGATCGCTGTGTTAGCTTTTCTCCAAATCAAATTTATGTTTATGAGGAACCCAGCCCGCGTCAAAAGATTGCAGCACCAGTAGCTGTGCCAAGTTTTAAAATAAGCATTATCGATCGGTGCCCGTTTGATAGTTGAAACACGTTGAAATTTCGACTTTCAACGAGATGATAATTTACAACTGCAACAAGCAGTCGCGTCTAATCATCAAACATTTTCATATCCCTCTTTGAAGCCCCCAAGAAAGACAGTGCAGCAACATAAACTCGAGTTCTTTTTTCTGCACGAGAACGAGACTGGAATTCGTAATATCACAATCTCAATTACATGATCAAATTCGCAGAATGTATCACGCTTGAAATGAGTTTTTGAACATATGAGATGATAAACACTGCACAATATGAAGTTCCACAAAATTGAGATTGTTGAGCTCAATGCAATCTTGGCTCGCTGTCCAAACCCTCGCAGAGCGTTGTCAATTAGGAAGCATCACTGTTCTTTTATTTCAAGTCACTGCGAGCTTCTATGATAGAGTGGCACAGTTCTAAATCCCGCATTAAGGATTATAATGCGAAATCAATCCTGTTTGAGCGCTCCCTCATCTAAAATACTAGTGCACAATTAATAAACTTAAGCGACTTCTAGTCACCTCTAGAGGTTCTAGTTCACTTCAAAGTGTCGAACAGTTCATGTCTTTTTTGGATATTTGATTAGCGTTGACAAACGATATTGAT